TCTAATAATAATAATAATAATAATAAAAATAAATTCAAAAGAAAGACATTTACCAAAAAAAAACATCAAGTCACATGTAAAAAAAAAGTAAATTAAGGGAAATATATGAACGTGCCCCGTCATAAACTTTTTTCTATGGTTTCTCTCTTATTATATATATATTAATTTTATAGTAATTTATCATAAAAGGTATTATAGGCATTATAACATTTTTTGATACACTTATAATGTATTTTGTTACAACATTTCAAAATTTAAAAGGCCAAAGCCCCTATTTGCAACCTCCATTTATTTTTTTTTCACGGTCAACACCTTCCAAAATTTTTTCTCCCTATTCGCACCCTCCACTTTTCAAAACCCGTGAAAAACCCGTGAAAAACCTAATATTTTAACGGGTTGTCACGGCACCGTTAATAACCGTTAGAGATTGTAATATGTGGCATCAAACAGTAACATAATCCAATGTGGACTTTTTTTTTTTTATGATATGGCATAATTAAACCATAATTAATTTTAATTTTTTCATTTTTTTCTTTCCCGCATGCTTTACCATCTTCCTCTTCATCCTCCTGGGTTCCTCATGGAACCAGGAACCCAGAACTTTATGTCACATTTATTAATCCAATGTTGGACTTTTTTTTATAATGTGTTATAATTAAATCATCATTAATTTTAATTTCTTCATTTTCTTCTTTCCCGGCATCAGCTTCACCATCCTCATCCTCGTCCTTGCGAAACCCAGGTTCTAAGTTTTTCGTGGAACCTAATTTCACATGAATGCCTACCAAGCTAAGATTTTCATCCACACAATTATAAGTAAATGAATACTACACAACAACATGATAAGCATCTTCTACTCCTTTCCCACAAAAAACGAAAAAAACTCAAATTGGCAACCTATTCAGAAACAATCTCCAAGCAAAAAAACTCACCTTTCCAACAAAAAATTTATTCCAAATTGCTTTGCATAAAATCGGAAGCTAAGATAAATACATTCAAAATAAAAAAATCAAAAAGAAAAATGGTTGGAACCCAGTTTCTGGGCTCCTGCGCGAGGAACCCAGAAACTGGGTTGCTGGCGCAGGAACCCAGATTTGGGTTCCTGTGCGGGAACCTAGTTTTTGGGTTCCTGCGCAGGAACCCGTTTTTGGGTTGCTGGCGCAGGAACCCAAATCTGGGTTCCTCGTGCAGGAGCCCAGAACTGGGTTCCTGGCGCGGGAACCCGAACTGGGTTCCCCGCGAGGAACCCACTGAGAAGAGGATGGTGAAGATGATGTCGAGGATGAGGGGGGAAGAAAAAAATGAAAAAATGCAATTTATGTAACTGTTTGATAATATTATAATTTTTTATTATTTTTATTGTATACGTGGCGTTCACGTCTGTAAAAAATAAACCACGTCATAAAAAAAAAGATCCACGTTGGATTACTAACGTTATATAGTACCACGTCAATTTTTGGGTGCCACGTAATATATTTTTTAACGGTGCCGTAACGGCCCGTTAAAATATTAAGTTTTTCACGGGTTTTGAAAAGTGGAGGGTGCAAATAGAGAGGAAAAATTTTGAAAGGTATTGACCACGAAAAAAAAAATAAATGGAGGGTGCAAATAGGAGTTTTGGCCAATTTAAAATGTTTTTACTAAATAAAAAGAAAGAAAACGAAAAAAAGAAAATGAAAAAGAAGAATGCATGCTAAAAAAAAAAAGTGCAATAAATAAAAGTGGGAGGTGAATTAAATTTAATGAAGGATGGTAAAAAATATTAGGCTGAAATTAATGAATAGAAAAAAAAAAGTTAAGCAAATGGGTACATTTACCAAATAGGGACAGTATTGACACATGGCAATAAAAGAGCATATTAGGGAAGGCTTATAAACAGCACATGTGGCAATACTTATCTTCACTGGTTTCTCCTTTAATATATATATATATATAGATATTGTAATTTTAAAATTTTAATTTTATATTATATATTAAAATAATATTTA